GTGCATTGTTAGTTAAATAAACTGAGATTTTTGGACTTGCCCCCCTAAGCAGATAGGTGCAAGAACGAGGTAAGTCCGCACTTGCCTCGTTCTTGCACCAATCTGCTTAGGGGGGCAAGTCCAAAAATGTCAGTTTATTTAACTAACAATGCACTTACGTACGTCGTTCTTACACCAATCGTTCGGGCTTGGAACGTTGCATATAATGAACCTGAATTGGAAGGAAAATATGAATTTATTTTTTGTACTTAAACTTGAATTGGAAGGAAAATATGAATTTTGTTTTTTGTACTTAAACCTACTCAAATGTTCAACAGATGATATTCAATATGGTGCAAAAAAAGATATCAGGTAACCAAAACTATGAAAAAATTAGCTAATTTAATAGTTTATTATTTATTTTTACTTATTTATTACAATAACTATCTAAAAGATACTACTTTCAAATATTTTTTGCTAGTTTATGTTCTGTTGCTAGGCATTTTTTCCATTTTTGGTGCTAGAACGAGGCAAGTCCAAATTAAAAGTGTTAAAATTTCATGTATTTTGAAAGTTTATTATTATTTTAATAAGTATGCGCTAATTGATAGCTAAGAAGAATATAATGTAAAATAAATAAACTTTCTGAAACAAAATTTGAAAACGGGGGAAAGTTTTTTTCGTTTATCTCAGAAACATAAAATGTGGACTTGCCTCTTTCTTGCAGCAATGTCTTCAATTGTACTGTGCGCAATTGAAGGCTTCTCGGTCTGGAAGCGGGAACACCCCTTATCCAGCAAGAGCGGCGCCTTTAACGCTAAACTGGCGCCGAAATTTATCGGGCCGCTGGAAGTGCGGCGGATTGTATCCCCGGTCATTGTGGACCTGCGCAGTACACACGGAAAATGGTACCGACACATCCACGTGCGGGATTTGAAAGCGGCACCCGTCAACGACAACTCGGGCAACGAGGACGGCGAGGAAAACAATCCCGCGTGACAAACCTACGGACGAACGCAGGACGATACGGCACTCGAGTCCGAGATGACAACGGAGCAAGACGTATTAGCCGAAATCGACACCCTGCTACGGGACGCGGAGCGGTACGACCCGGCCGCCCCCGCTATCGGGGACCAGTGGATCCGCTTATATCGAGCCGAACCCGAAGCTGCACCGCCACCAGCCAGGCCCACGACGCAGCGAACCGTCCCGCGAGTCGGGACGGTGATACAACGGTCAGACAGCACGAACGAGAGGAAGCGTGCCTGGCTCCTGTCGGTCCCGCCGCCGCTACCACCTCGGCCAGCACCAGCGCCCGCTGCACCGCGACCGACCCTCCAGCCGGCACGACCGGAGGGGCCTCTTCCACCACCGCCCATCCCCGTGGAAGTGGAGACGGGAGTGGCCGTGGACGTGCCGCACTTCGCGGCCCACGTCAGCCGCCGATACAAGGCCCGCCTCGGAAACCGGCGCTGGGTCATCCGCTTTAACGGAAACGGGAAACCGCACTCGGTCCGAGAGATTGTACCACCGTAGGCCTCTAAATGCAGGCCTTAGCAAATGGGGGGGGGGGTGATGTAACGATGCACCCCGAAGCCGCATCGTTCCCCGGCTAAGGCTGGGTCTACATAGGATGCAGTAAGTCGTGTCGGATGTCGGGAGCAGTCGGGAGCAGTCGGGAGCAGTCGTATCACTGTCGTATGTCGGTGTGCGTTCTACACTCAAGTTCAGAAGAGGAGGGATAACGCGTAGATATTTTTGAACCAGTAGGGTTAGGTTAGGTTAGGTTGCATCAGCCGATTGCATCGTGTCGCAGGTACTCACCGGACATGGATGTTTCGGTGAGTACCTGCATAGAATCGGCAAGGAGGACTTGCCACGGTGTCACCACTGCGAGGAGACAGCGGACACAGCGCAACATACGCTGGAGTCATGCCCAGCCTGGGAGGCGCAGCGCCGGGACCTCAGGCTGCACATCGGAGCGGACCTCTCACTGCCAGCAGTGGTGCACGCCATAACGGAGCGAGAGGAGGCGTGGACGGAGTTCTCCTCCTTCTGTGAACGTGTTATGTCACAGAAGGAGGAGGCAGAGCGGATAAGGAGGGGGGAGTGCGACCCCCTACAGGACGCACAGGGAAATGGGCGCAGAAGGAGAAGAGCGAGAGGGCGCCCAGCCCACCTAAGAGCGTGGTGAGGACGAGGGGAGGCGAACGGGGGGTGGCAGACCGTAACGGTTA